ACTACAACACACCGTCATGATGAGTGATTTCAAATCTTAGCATGATGATAGAGATAGAGTCAAAGAATACTCTCCCCACCAAAATTGGCAAAGCCATGAAGGCTGTACCAAAGAGGAACAGACTGAAAGCAGCTAGCACCAACATCAATGCAATCCTAAGCATAAACCTAAAAGTGGAACTTATCAGAACCATTCTATAATTTTATTAAAAGCTTGTCTGTATTAGTTAATTACCTGTTATCTCTTTGGTCTTTAATATCGTCTTCAGCATTCTGAGATCCATGGATGACCCTAGAGCCTTCAGCTATGGAACACAATACAAACCAAAGATTACCATCGTAAGGCTGTCTTGGTTGCAGCAATGGTCTTACATTCTGATCAGCATGCTGAAAGCCCTCTCCTCGGGGCACTACCAGCAAGAAATCACCCAGCTGAAGCCAAGAACTAACAGTGATAATCTAGTTGTGAACTATGAGTTTGATAGCTGGTCTGGTAAGCTTGATTAACAATTTAGGACCTAATGTCATTATGTTGAAATAAATTGCGTATGCACCAAACATAAGCCTTTCATCGGTAACCCTGCGTTTTGTTCAAGGTACAAGAAATTAGAAATGACATAAGGTAAGGTTCAGAAGGAAGCAAACGCAGCAAGCTTACCATAACTCAAGAGGGAAAAATGATGGGCTGATCAGTGCAATTGCTTTAATTGGTAAGTGAACCGAAGTCACTAACAGTGCCCCATGAGAAGCAAACGCAAAGAAAGTGTAACTAAGATAGAGATTGGTGATCTTGTAGTCTGGATCTGTGACATCTAGAAGATACCAAAAGGCTCGTTTATGAATGATCTGTCAAAGAAGAAGAAAAACATGAGGAAAAAATCTGATGAAAGAATAAGGTTCCGTTGGGACGAGACAAAAATTGAAACTAGTACCTCCTGGAGAAATTTCCTGCAAGTATCAGCATGCATCACGCAAAAGAATCCTACCAGCCATTGTAGGGTAATCAGCCATGGGAGGGTTGTAAAAAACTCAAATCTCTGGGAAAGTGTGGGTCCAAACATAGGGGAGATGCAGATTTTGAGCCAACATCCAATTATTCAAGGCATGACACCAAATTTGAACCAAAAGACGAAAGCATCCTTGATAAGAGATAGGTTTTTGCTGGCTTTTACTGAGAAACCCCACAAGAGACATGGCAATTCGATTGCTATGAAGTGAAATCCTAGCAAAAACCACCGGACTAAGGCTTGAAATGAGTTGTGATGGAGAGTGAAAAGGATTTCAGAGTAAGCAATGGGAATTGACAGCATCATCTTGTATCCAAAAATAACAGGCGAGTTTCCAGAGAAATAGCTGCCTCCAACAGTTGCTAATACAATCGATCCAATCGAAAGCGGAAGAAGAACAAAGAGGATAGACACATATAAGTTGATGGTAAGAACCTGTAGGGAACAAACAAAACTTGTTACTCAACATCCTCCGCTGTGGTAATTACGGAAGATAGCTGATAAACAAACAGAAATTTAGGACTCACAGCAAAGGCATCGTCATCTAGAAAGAAGAGCAGCCTCCGAAGAACTCCAAATTCATGAAGTGGCGCATTTCGAAGAACAACTATTAGTCCACGACGTTGCGTCAAGAACTTGATGAGTTTTAAAAGAAACCAATCACAAAGGATTTTCGTATATTTCCATAAGACCTGCATAACTCCACCAAGAACTCCTTGTTGTAGGCCATTCCAAATAAAATCCGCAGGGTGAGCGTCACCAAGAATTCTCCCGATATTGGGATCTCCTGCTTGCTTCCTTATAGCAGTGATAATGAACATGAGGCACACGATCAAAGTGCTGTAAAGCAGGCCAGCCAACAAAGAAGCAAACTTCCGAGACATCCAAAAACCTCGTTGGCACGCAGCAGCAACTTCTTGGCCCCAAGGGTGTAAGGAACAACAGAATGTGTTCAACAGAATCACCACTATCCAAAGAGCGATCAATTTCATGTAACGTGATACTCTCGAAAACAATCCAGTCAGAAACTCGTTACACGGAAGCCTCTCCGGAGCATTCTCGGAGTACACAGGAACAAAAGAGTAGCTACGCCCACATACCTGCGGTGGAAACAGAGAGAATTTCATCAAACATCTAGAATGCAGCAAGATTCTTCCTATAGGAAGCCACCCAAATAGAGAGCGACTCAAAAAACCAAACTTTGACAAAAATTTAAAACCCTAAAATCAAAACCTCGTTGCATTGAAGATTCTTCCTAGACCCACCGAAATATGGAGTAATCGGAAACCCACTCTAAGACATAACGCTAAAACCCTAAAAATCCAACCATGTCAAAATCCCAAAGCCTCGAAGAAATCAAGCTCTTCCTAGACCCACAGAGATAAGAGGAATTCGAAAACCACATTATGAAAACCCTTGAAACTAGCTTAGCCATGTCAAAATCTCAAATCCAGATGTTTGAACGATAACACAATCACCTCGCATTTTTCTTGTATCCGCGAAGATTCAGCCAATGAAGAAGACACTCTTCGTGCACATACTTCATAGATCCTCGACACAAACATGGAAACCTTAACGGATTTCCTGGTTACTCCGGTGAGTGACAAATCCGACACAGGTCTTTTCCGTATCCTCTGCCGGAAAACCTTGATCGTAACCACCGACTTCTGCTATCTCCGGCGAACCCATTGTTGGAAACCTAGTTTTCTCTCTTCTCTTCTTCACTCACTCAAGCGGCAAATGTATAGAGTGGTTGCAGAACCTTAAAGCAAGTAATTTATGTATTTTGAAATTAAATAAATAATTATGATTACTTTCTTGCTTTTTGTCGGCTACAGTCTACAGAGAGTGACTTTCTACGTTGCTTCCTATCCATTAATTACCACGGTCAAATCAAACTTTTACCAAAGCTTTTAAAAACGTCATTTTTTAGTCCATTTTCGTATAAGAAAGTAAAAAACAAATGTCTTTTGCGAGTAAAACTTCCAGCAAGAAATGTTATAATGTGATTTTCAGTATAAGCCAATATAATACTATTGTTTTCATACATTAAGATTAGGGAAGATTAAAAACAAATTTGCAAAACAAACTCTACTATTTCAACAAATCAATGTTCATCACATTTTTAATCGATGTTTTATTATTAAAAAAAAAGATCAGATCATTTGAAAACATAATCCATAATGGATTCAAATGAAGTTTTTTCCCCCATACTGCGTTACAGAAATGTAGTCTTTGTACGGAGTTGACTAGTTTGTACACTAAGAATAACTTTGACGAAACTATAAAAAGGTCTAGGAATTGAAATGGTAACAGATTTCTAGCTATACATAGATTTGTAGATATAATTGAAGAAGATTACAAAATGTTTTTAAATACAATTAGACGTTAGTTAAAGTTGTCATGTTGACCTATTTTCTCGCAAAACTTCACATTACCTCTTTAAACGAAATGAATATTACAAATCCGAAAGTTGAATCGTCATTTGCGTGTTCCTCCGATCCTCGTTGTGTGTTTTCAAATTGATTCCCTTTTATCTTTTCACAAACCCAGTTTTTTTTTTCCTTTTAACAAAAAGGGGAAAAAACGAAATGGAGTCGAATACAACCTTTTGGATCATCATGATCGTTATGATCTTAACGCCGTTAGAATCCAAATGTGTACCGATCAGAGATTCTTTCGTCGCGAGATCTCTACTTTCTGTGTCTCCTCCTTGCGAATCAGAGTCCCTATCTCCAGCACCGGCGCCGGCACCAGAAGTTACGGAACCGATCAATACACCGGCGAATCCTCCGTCGGATATAGACTCTCCTGCATCGTCACCAGATACTCCCGCCGATTCAATTTTACCGGCGGATTCTGCGTCGGATATAGAATTATCAGACTCTCCATCGTCGTCACCAGAAGCTCCCGCCGATTCAATTCCTCCGGCTAATTCTCCGTCGGAGATCTCCCCCGCATCGTCACCAGAGACTCCTGCCGGTTCAATTTCTCCGTCGGAGTCAGATTTAGACTCTCCCGCATCATCACCAGATTCTCCCGCCGGTTCAATTCCCCCAACGAATCCACCGTCTCAGGAAAACCCCATGGCTCCATCAGGAAAAACACTCATGAATTCGCCAAAAAATCTTTTGAATCCGCCATTGTTATCTCCCGAGATCAAAACAATTTGCGGCAAAACAGATAACCCTCCGTTATGCGAATCTTCCGTTACTCCTCTGTTAACGCCTGATTTCAAACCAGACACTTCCTCCGTTCTAATTCTCTTGATTCAAGCTTCGATCAACGCGACTAAGGCGGCGAAGGTCACCGTCGATAAAGCAGCCGCCGCAGATTGTCAGGAGCTTTACGATGATGCCGTCACGAATTTGGAAGACGTGATTAGCGCCGTTAAGTCACGTGACTATCCCACTGTGAATACTAACTTAAGCGCGGCGATGACGGATTACGGCACGTGTAACGACGGGTTTGAGGAATCCGGTGAGCCTAACCCGTTGGCTGACGTGAGCGAGAAGCTAACGAAGATGGTTAGTAACTGTCTTGCACTCTCGACGTTGCTCAAGTGAAAATACGACAACGTTTTGATTCTTAAAGAAGAAGAAGGAAAATGTTTGTTTTTTAACTTGGAATGGAAGGGTTTGAACATGATACTACGTCGTTTTCAAATATATTTGAAGTGAGGTGAAGAAGCTTTAGGCTTTGTGATTTAAACAAACCCAGAGATATTTCCTGCATGTATCTCTCCTCGTTGTTGTATTGTCATGTCATGTGTGTGTGGATAATCAATTTCTCCTGATTTTTATCATGAGTATATACATAAATTTAAATATCATGTTTTAGATAATCTGGTATGTTTAACCAGAGAAAAAATGAATGTTGTTTATGTGTATGGTGGTGATTAATGTGATAAAACAAAATAATAATATAACATAGTATCTTCTTAGTTGGGCCTGAATTTTAAGGGCCCAGCCCAAAGTGCAATTATTAGTCGTCGTACGATTTTACTCCGACAAGGAAACGCTGTCTCTCGTCGCCGGAGATATTTTAAACGGGACGTCGTCATGGAAGTGATGGG